AAGTTCCAAACCAGCTGGGACTACAAGACCCAATCTCAAAATTAAAAAAATAGGGTCTGGAGAGCTGACTCAGCAGTTAAGAGCACTGGCTGCTCTTGCAGAGGACCAGGGTTTGATTCTCAGCACCTAGATGGTGGCTAACAACCATCTGTAACTCCAGTTCCAGGGATCTTGAGACCCTTTCTACCTCACAGGTATTATATGAACATGGGTGCACTTACATGTAGGCAAAACACTCATAAATAAATTTTTAAGAATTTTAAAACAAGAAACAACAACAAAAAGGACAAAGATGGGCTGGAGAGATAGCTCAGTGATTAAGAGCATTTGCCGCTCTTACAGAAAACCGGGGTTCAATTTCCCAATATTCCCATGGTGACTCACAAATACTTGCATGTAACTTCAGTTCCAAGGAATCTAATATCCTCTTCTGGGCTCCCTGGGCCTGTTCTCTCTCTCTCTGTCTCTCTCTCTCTCTCTCTCTCTCTCTCTCTCTCACACACACACACACACACAAAAAAAACCCACATACACATGCAGGCAAAACACATAAAATTTAAATTTAAATTAAAAAAAAAAAAAGACCAAATTAGAGAGGAGTCTGTAGCTAGGACAGTGTGAATGCTTTGTATATAGTGGTAAGTAAGGGTCTGGAAGGATGTGGTTAAGAGCACTGGCTGCTCTTGCAGAGGACCCAGGTTCGATTCCCAGCACCCATATGGCAGCTAACAACAGTTCCAGGAGAATCTGTTCCCCTCTTCTGGTCTCTTGGGGCATTGCATGACATGGTTGCACATATACATGCAGGCAATACACTCATACACATAAAAATATTTTTTAAAGTAATCAAACAATTTTTAAATAAGGGCTTTGTTTTAGAAAAATATAGGTTATAGCAGGAAATCGTATGATTACAGAGGTCTTTTTTTGTGTGTTTTTGTTTTTTGAACTAGGATCTCATATATCCCAGGCTTGTCTCAAACTCTGTATAGCCAAGGCTATATAGATCTCTATATAGATCCTTCTCCCTACACCCACCAAGTGCTGGGATTAGCAACAGGTGCCACCATGGCTGGCTCTATGTAGTCTTATATTCATAATTTGAGTCATTTGTATTTAAGTTTAATGATATTCTTTTGATAACCTTGCCTCACTTGTAAGCTGATGCATTTTCATAGAGGGGTCATTTAATTTGTTTTTCTTAGTAGCCTAATAATCATGTTAGCTGTCATACTATCTGGGGACCTTCCCTAGGTGATAATTAAGAAACTTAAAAAGGGATGTACTTTACTATTATTGCCCCACCAAGTATGTTATTGACACAAGATAAACATGAACAAATAATGAGCAAGTGGCAGGGATGGGGTGTTTATCTGAAATGGATGGCTGGAAAGCTGTTGCTGAAAGAGAATCTTATCCTTAGCTCAGCTCTTCATGTGCCCTGCACAGAGCTGCTGAGCATAAGTTGCTTATAGAGCTAGAGCTTGTGACAGGCATGTGACTGCTGTTTATCAGCAGAGCCTAGAGTGCACTGGCTTATAGCTGGACATACTAAATGTTTTCTACTTGTGACCCCTTTTTTGCTTAAGAAATTTTTACATGACCCTAGGGGTATAAGTATATAAAACAGACATAAAAATAAAATATTTATTGATAATAAATCCTTTAAGGCCAGTGGGTGATGCAGCAGGTAAAAGCATTTGCCACACAAGCCTGACAACTTGCATTCAACCCCAGGATCCACATAGTAGGAGAAAACCATCTCCCAAAAGTTGTCTCCTTACTTCCACATGTGTACCATAGTACACACCTGCATAGAGAGAGAGAGAGAGAGAGAGAGAGAGAGAGAGAGAGGAGAGATACACACTAATAATGAATAAAAATATATAAAAAGTAAATAGAAAAAGAAGGTATACATATAATTTACTATTTATTCAAGATTAAATCAGATTAGCACATTATTGAGATGGATGTGCTTGTTTATTTTTACATAAAGATTTCAAAGTTGCTAGGCACAGTGACTTAGTCCTGTAATCCCAGCACTTGAGAGATGAGGAGTTTAAGATCATCCTCAGCTACGTGGTGAGTTTGAGCCTCCAGCCTAGGCTACAAGAGACCTTGTTCAGAGGGAGAGAGAGAGGGGGAAGGGAGAGGGATTGAGTGTTTCATACTGCAGGATATAAAAGGTCTTCATTTTTAGAGTTGATCAATATTTTGATTTTATGATCTTTAATGTTGAAAATGCTTTCTCTCATAAATATGTGGTACCAAATGGCAGAAGTATATTTAGGGCCACTTCAGAAGTTGTTGGAAATTCTCTGCCCCAATTCCAAGCCAAAGTCATTTAATGGTATTTTATGAAACTCAAACAGCAGTTTTGTTTTTTTTTAAATCTAGCATTCTAATATAATACAATCCAGGGCTAGAGAGATGGCTCAGCAATCAAGAACACTGACTATTCTTGCAGAAGACCCAGGTTTGAATCCCAGCACCTACATGGCAGCTAACAACTGTCTGTAACTCCAGTTCCAGGGGATCTGACAGCCTCTTCTGACCTCCACTTGCATGACACGGGTGCACTTACCTACATGCAGGCATAACACTCATACATATAAAATAAAAATAATAAGTAAAATATTCTAATACAATACAATCCAAAGATAAACTAATTTGATACATGCTGAGAAATATTGGTAGGAAATTATTAAAAGTTTTTGCTTTCTATGATTAAACCATTATGTTTCTATAAGAGTAGGAACTTTGTATGTATGGTGAAAACAGCCATTCATGACCTACAGCAGTGTCACATCTGAGCTGATGTGACAGTGTTCCTTCAGGCAGTGTTCCTTGGTGTTGTGTGGCAGAAGGGTATGCGTAGTGCCCGTGTATTGCATGTATATTCAGAACAAAGGCTGCAGCAAAAGCACCCAGTATAACCCGTGTGAGCACTGCTATAAACACCTCAGATCCATTAGACATTTTATTTTGAATGAAGTTTTGTTGTCTGTTCAAAAACCATTTACTATTGCCAGGTTGTTTGTGACCCCCACATTTAGTTACATGACTCCTTATGGGATCACAACCCACAATTTAAAAAATTGAGATTTGGAGCTGGAGAGATGGCTCAGAAGTTAAAGAGTACTGACTGGTCTTGCAGAGAACCCAAATTCAGTTCCCAGCATTCACATGGTGGCCAACAACCATGCATAACCCACACTCCAGGGGAATCTGATGCCCTCTTCTGGCCTCTGCTGGCATGGCATGATACAGGTGCACGTACATTCATGCAGGCAATACACTCATACACATAAACTAAAAATAAAAAATTTGTTTTAAGAAATTGGGTTTTGGGGCTGGAGGGATGGCTTAGTGGTTAAGAGCACTGACTGCTCTTGCAACGGACCAGTTCAATTCCCAGCACCTACATGGCAGCTACAAACTGTCCATAACTCCAGTTCCAGGGGAATCCAATGCCCTCTTCTGACCTCTGTGGCATTGCACGACATGGGTGCACTCACATACATACAGGAAATACACTCATACACATAAAATAAAATAATAAATTAATTTTAAAAAAGAATTTGGGGTTTATAGGGACAGGCAACAGCCACTGAACAAGTAGAGTTGTAGTATATTACCCTCAGTCTGTCTCCTGTGGAATGGAAGAAGAGATGGCCTTATACCTGCCTGTACTGTAGTGTTATCTATTATAGAACATTTTATTTATTTTTATAATTCATTTTTAGATTTCCAATCTTTCTTTTTAAAAACACTTATGTATGTATACATGACTGTGTATATGTGTGCACACATGCGTGCGGAAGCCAGAGGCCAACACTGAGTGTCTTCCTACATTGCACTCTCCATCTTACTTTTCAACAGGCTCTCTCATTGAAACTGAATCTCACCTATTTTGCTAGATTGACTGGCCAGAAAGCCCCAGAGACCCTCTTCCCCAGTGCTGGGATTACAGGCTTAACATAAACCATCATATGTACATGTACACACAGATATTTATAATCATTTTTCCAAACCACTGAAAGAACATTTATATTAAAATCTATTTCTTTCAGTTAAAAAAAATGGGTTTATGGGGATGGAGAGATGGCTCAGCAATAAGAGCACTAACTGCTCTTGCAGAGGACCTGGTTTCAATTCCCAGCACCCACAAGGCAGCTAACAACCATCCATAACAATAGTTCCAGGGGATCTGATGCCCTCCTCTGACCTCCGTGGGCCTTACACAACATGGGTGCACTTGCATACATGCAAGCAATGCACTCATACACACAAAATAAAAATAATAAATATTTTTAAATGGGTTTATAATTATACTTTTATTTAAAATGCTTTCCATAGGCATGCACATTCCACTTACATCAGTGAAGACAGAGAAACCCTGAGTTTACATCTTTGCCCCAAAATTAAATATTGAAGGGAGATGGGTGTCTTATTTCTGGAACAAAACCCTCTTTACTTTCATGTTATTGAAGTATAGTCTCACTAAACTAAATCCGGGACTGCTGGGCCCTGTCTCAGTGCCAAATCGGGTCAGGGGAGAATGAGGACACTGGCAAGTGCTGTGGACAGGTATTCCAGCCCCATACAGGGGTAGCTGAGAGGAAGAGTCCTTCCTGGGGGACCTGGGAGGCCTTACAGTTTGGAAAAATTGTCTGCTTATTTCAGAGGCCCCTCATTTTCAGGCAGACACTTAAGAAATGATTACATTCCCCTGAAAGCCAGCTTCTACATAATTCAGGATTGTCCTGGATCACTCTCATCAAAGAGGAAGAAAAGCCATATGAATTATTTACAGAGTACTAAATTATTTCCTTTATGAGCTCCAACTTTGTTTTTGTCTCTGCAAACTGAGATTTTTGTTTATCCATGAATGGTTTTCCCTGGGGCATGAAAAATATGACTCTTAAATTATGAATGAGGCTTTTTTGTTTGAATCCGTGTTAACTAAAACATGCAAAATAAACTATGTTTTTCATTAGATCCCTTTCAGCTCCCCACAAAAACAGAAACAACAAAAGAAAGAGCTGTTCAACTATCAACCACCAGGAAGCCTACTGTAATTCGAATTCCAGCCAAACCAGGAAAATGTAAGCATTTCTCTGCCTTCTTTATTTGCTCCTCCCAGAGCCTGGGAGAAATTCAAATTAACTTATCAATGACTGCTTTTGAAATTATGTGTAACCTTCCATTTACTATTCAGAGTCATGGACATTCCAAAGCAAGTTGTTTTCTCACAATTCTTTGTAGAATTAGCACAGTAAATTTGGATTTCATTTTTCTTTAAGGTTGATTTAGATAAAGAGAATAGGAGACTGAATCTCAGAACAATCATAGTCTACCCCATCAGTGCCTCTAGTAAAGATTGGTGGGAAAGCAACTGAAACTAATGGCAAATAAAGTTGTATATGTCTATCAGGAGAGTATTCTTCCAGTCAACACAGTCTAAATAAGGCTATGTGCAAAGGACTGTACCCAGAAGCTTTAAAAACATACAGTAATACTTCTGTTTTATGATGACTCAATTACTAAATAAAAATTCTTTTAAAATTTGGTCTGGGCATGGTGACAACACTCAGGAGTCATAGATAGGTGGATCTCTTGTGAGCTTGAAACCAGTCTGGTCCATATAGAGTCCCAGGTGAGCCAGGGCTGCACAGTGAGACCCTATCTCAAGAGGGAAAAAAAAAAAAAAAAAAAAAAAGTGTATCATGGGGACTGGAGAGGAGGTGGCTCAGTGGTTAAGAGGACCTTGCTGCTCTTGCAGAAAACCTGAGTTTAGGTCCCAGCACCCACATGATGGCTTACAGTCAACCATCTGTCACTTCAGTTCCAGGGAATCCAACACCCTCTTCTGTCCTCTGTAGGCACCAGGCATGCATGTGATACACATATATACCTACAGCAGAATACTCCTACACATAAAAATAAATCTTAAAAGTAAAGTTAGTATAGCATTTCATTTGATGTACTACTTGATATTTGTTTAACGATAGAGTAAATAAGCTTTAATGGTACTTCACAAAGAAATCTGATATTTAGGGCTAGGGATGTAGCTCAGTTAGTAGAGTGCTTATCTCACACTCAGGAAGCCCTGGGTTCAGTTCACTTCTGCATAAAACCAGAAGTGTAATGCATGCCTGTAATCCTAGCACTCAGAAGGTGGAGGCAGGAGGATCAAGGGTTCAAGATCATCCTTGGCTCATAGAAATCTGCTCATCTGAGTTTGAGGCCAGCCTGAACTGAGACCCTGTCTCAAAACAAGAAGGAAAGAAAATCTGTGGATTCTGGAGCAGTTCCTGGCCGTGCTAGAAATCCTCAGCTCTCCGTAGCCTCTGGTTTATATCTGCAGTGCTTTCTTTGCCTTTCTTTGCTGCTGACTCCATTCCTCCTAACAGCAGAACAAGTGCCCCAAGTCTTCCGCTGTAGTACCCCAAGATTGTACAGAACCGTCTACTTGACTTTTAGGTGACTGGTTTTGCTATAGAACACTACCTCGAAGGCTCATATTGGTTTTGCCTCTTTTTAAAAAAAATTTTTTATTTAATAACCATATGATTAGAGGAAGTGTTTCATTGCAGCATTAACATATTCAATAACAATTTCCAGAGCAAAGATGCATCTCTTTGTAAATTTTTAGGTTGACAGTTGAATAATACAGCTATACAATATTGAATTCAGTATCTTGGAATAAACCTGACCAAAGACATTAAAGAGCTCTACAATGAAAATTTTAAATCTTTAAAGAAAGATTAAAGAAAGAGATTGAGGAAGACATCAGAAGATGGAAGGACCTCCCATGCTCATGGATTGGAAGAATTAATGTTGTTAAAATGACCATCCTACCAAAAGCCATTTATAGATTCAATGCAATGCCAACCAAAATCTCCATGACATTCTTCACAGAGTTGGAAAAAACCATCCTAAGATTCACATAGAAGCACAAAAGACCTCGGATAGCCAAAGCAACCCTGAGCACTAAGAGCAATGCTGGGGGGATTACTATACCGGACTTTAAATTGTATTACAGAGGTTTTAGCCTCTTGATGGTTTTGTTATTAACTGATAGCTCTCAGCCAAGTCACAAGAAGATTGAATTGAGTTGCTGGGAGGAATGAGGAGATAAAAATCAGGGCTCTCAAATTCTGGCAGGGTCTTGCTTCTTTGGAGGTCATATTGTAGTGTTCTACTAAGGAAAGAGTGGCATACTCTCTTTTGACAGTGAAATATAGCCCAGAAATGAGTAAAGGGCATTGTTTGCCTGTGTACTCTTACCATGTTATATTTGTGTTCTGGATTTGACAGTCTTAGTAGAACAACAATAATATTACCAGAAGTTCATGTGTGCAGTTAGTCAGCAATATGACTTTCTGTTTTTTAGATGCTGGGGTGGAATCTGGTGTCTCTCTCACAGTTACCACTAAGCTATCCTTGACCCATAATACAACTTTTATACTTAAATCTACTCTCTTGTGTCAGTGTTCCCAAG